ATGTGTTTGTGATAGCCCGTTTTGAGGCATTTTTATATACCTTTTATAAAGGATTTTAACAAAAATTTTTTTTTATATTATATTAAAATATATTATATTGTATTCATTATTATGTAATTGATATTTTGTATATGCCTATGTATGTCTTTATAACTTTTTGTATTTTTCTTATGCTAATAACCCTAAGTGGTTGAAATAAAAATATTTAACGTTGAATTTGGATTAAAAAAAAATGGCAAACATTAAAGTTTAATTAGCACTTTAAACAACTCTGTATTTTAAATTTTTAATATTTAGTAAAAGATAATTATTATGAAAGGTTCTGAAACTGTTTTCTTGTGGCTTGTCTAAATTAAATATTATGTTTATATAATATAAAGTTACAACAAGCTGTTAATAGGTTATGTTTTTCAAAATTAATGTTAGACTTATTTGGTCACGGTCTTATCGGCAATAGCCTGATTTTGGTTGAAACAATCAAACAACGAAAGTTGAGGGTGGTGTTTTTAGCCTCGAAATATAAAATTCTGACTCTTTTGTGTGGTCCTTAAATATTTTTTGTGTAATGTGTGTTTACGTAGATTATATATTTGTGTGTTGTGTGTTGCATATGTATTTTCTATAATTGTACACTTGCAGCTTTCTTTAGTTCACTGTTGTTAGTATGTTCTTGTTACTGACTTCTTCTTTTAGTATTGGCAACCAACGCTATTTTTTTCATTAAGTAGAATAAGCACAGTTTTGACTTTCATCATCTTCATGTCTGTTTCTTTCATGATTATTGATGCATCTTTCCATTGTATTCTGCTCTCATTCTCTCAGGCATCTTTGTATATCCGAGATTTGTGAAGTCTCTGTTCTTGAAGAAAGTTTCATGCTCGTTTATCTTGATACTTGTTGGTGTTACTGTGTCTTCCACATAGAAATTGTGGCATTTAGAGGATATTTTATAGATGCAGTTCTTTGGTCTTTGTCTTGTTGGGTTTGATTTTTGGACAGTATAAATCTTAGTGTTTTGGTTGTTTTAAAATTTTCTGATGTTGTACATATTTCCTATCCTTTTTAATTTTTCTGATAAGTCGTTTTCATATAGTACTGTTGTCATCTTTGAATCCCTTGTTGTTAGTATATATGGACTGCTTGTGGTGCTCTGTTATTTCCTTTCGTCAATCTTGTTAACCACTGTTTCGACCACCATCGGGATTTGATCATTTCTTCTTTAATATTTACATTGTAATCTGAGGTCCGACGATCACAATAAATTAATAACAGACTCGGTTAGAAACGCACAACTCAAATTTTGCAAGAAAAATGACACCAAAAGTGAAAAGATTAGCAAAAATACAAAAGCTCTTATGGAAATATGACAAAACCTAAGCGAGAACGAAAAGGGAAACAAAGAAGAATATAAAAAACTAAATAAAAGAATTTCAGCGGAAATTAGAAAAGATGTAAGAAGATAATAATGTAATTACTCAAACATTAGAAGAGAACAAAGGTTTAAAGATAATGAATAGAAAACTAACACAAAGTAAAAAAGAAATATACAAGCTGAGAGATAAAGACGGAAAGGCAACACAGAAAAATTCAGCTAAGGTCGAGGAGTTAGACAAGGAGACAATATTTCACCAAAATTGTTCACGGCAGCTCTAGAGTCAATATTTAAGAGCACTCAATGGCAAGATATGGGCATCAATATAGATGGAGAAAGATTAAATCACCTAAGATTTGCAGATGATGTTGTATTAATCGCAGATAATTTATATCTGCAATTATGGCTGTATTATGATACAGTTTCTATGATGCATTCGCTTAAAAGTCTGTCTGAACGAGCAGGATTAAAGATAAACTTTGAGAAAACTCAACTTATAATAAATCTCGTAATGAGTGGAAATATAAATATTGACAATAATACCATACAACAAACAGACACTTACAAATATCTGGGACACGAAATCAAAATAAGCAGAGACAATCAAACACATAAAATACAAAGGCGAATAGGCCTAACATGGGCAGCATTTGGCAAATTAAACCATAGTCCAAAAAGTTCAATTCCTATGTGTCTCAAGCGAAAGGTTTATAACCAATGTGTTTTACCTGTACAAACTTATGGAGCAGAGAATTTAACACTCACGCAAAAATCTGCGAATAAACACAGAGTTACACAACGAGCTATGGAACGTACAATGCTGAACGTGACCCTTCGAGACCACATAACAAACCAACAAATCAGGTAAAGATCAGGAGTTCAAGACGTCATCGAAAGAACCACGACGCTTAAGTGGAACTGGGCAGGGCACTTAGCCAGAACACAGGATGAACGGTGGACAAGACGTATTATGGAATGGAGGCCCAGAAACTATAAAAGACGCCGAGGACGACCACCGACTAGATGGACCGATGATATAAAACGTGTAGCGGGAAACTGGCTACAAGGGCCCAGTGTAAAGCACACTGGAAAGAACTGAGAAAGGCCTATGTCCAGCAGTGGACGCGATAGGCTGATTGATAATGATTGATGTGGTCTGAGTGGTTAATTGAAATATCTGTTAATATATAGGATATAATATGTGTTAAATATCTGTATGTGTTATTTTTCTGTAAACTTCGGTTACATACCCTGTGTCCTCGTTTGTAATAAATACATCCAAAAAAGTAAATGAATTGTTGTTTTCTTTTTCATTGTGAATTTAATTGATTCTTCTTTATTTTCGATGTTCATTACAAATTTATTCTGGTTCTTGAGACCAAACAGAGAACACATCATCTACATATCTCCACCATGCTGTGGGTTGTTTGTGTAAAATGTTTTGTTCGAAGTTCTCCATAAATATATCCGCTAATAATGAAGATAAGCATAAGCACATGGTTACTCCAAAACTGTGCCTATAAAAATTATTATCTATAGTTAAAAATAAGTCCTGTATGTGCAAAGTGTTAGTAGCTCCATGATATCTCATACATTTAGTTTGAGTTTTGTTGTCAATTCCGTCTCTAATTTGCTCTTATTGTTTTTTAAGTTTTCCCCAATAGTACGTTGGTCAAAAGACTGGTCTCGAAACAGACTATCATATTGTTAAAATTGCATTCTATTTCTGCTAGTTCTTGCAATAATTCGCAAGAACTTTGACAATCTGCTGCAAGGAGAACCCGTAATTATACAAAATAAAAATACGACATATATATAGTTTCAAAAATAGTTATTGCAGATATTATAAAATTGACCAGCATCAATCGATTTTTACAAGTTGTCCAAAACAAAATAAAAAATTCAAGCCTGACTTTCTTAGAAGCAAAAAGGTAATTTTCGGAATAACTAGGTCCGCGGCTTTATATACAAATAATATATTTACAGTCAGGCACACAAAGTCTGAATAATTTTACCCTCTTCCTCAATAAAAAACAAATACAAACAATATTAATAAAACGAGAATCTTTCTTGCGCTACCACCTATTTCTTTTTATCTCTATATTTTACCTATTTTATAAGCAAAAGAAAACACCTCTATATCTACTATTAAAATATCATTTCGTTCCACAAAAATGAAAATTAAATGGAAAACGATGTCATCCTTTCTTTACATTTTTGTTTGTTTTTTTTAATTTTTATTTATTTAATGAATTATCTCTTTAATATGTAATCTTTTAATCAGTTGATTTTTATAGGAATGTCAAATTGTCACAGATATGAATTTATTACTGTACTAAATCTTAAGACATGCAAAAGCAGATTTTAATAATAAATCACAAAGCAAATCAGTGATCAGTATCGTATCAGAAATTAGAGCACCATATGTTAGTCGAAAGGGTACTAACGAGGAGCGTGGATGGGTATAAAAGGAAATGAAAAGAGGAGTCCTTGTAACTCAAACGATAAAATTTGCATCTAAATGAAATGATTAGAAATAATATCTGTCAGAGATAATATTACAAAAAAAACAGTCCTTTTATAATTTTTTTTATTCGTGTGAGAATTATGTATTCATTGAATCCAATTACCTTGGTCCTTCTATGCAAATGAAACAGTAGCTGGGCATTTCGTCACTGGTTATAAATATTAATTGGATCTTTGCAATTAGTTTACAGTGGCAATCACTTAAAAGATCAGAATATTCATGCAAAGTTGTTTTATATGTATAAGTACTTTCTTTTGGCATTTGTTTCTAGTAGTTAGTCTGATAGTAAGTAATTATTTTACTAATACAATTACCAACAGATGCTAGTTGAATGGCAAATCGAATAGTGATTATTTATGAAATTATTGAAAGAAGATTAGAAAATTATCAATTAGTTTAATGACTTATGTAAGTATTTCATCCGGACCATCCGTTTACCAGTTTGTATTTCTTTAATAGTGTCTACTTCACTTTTTATTATATTTGGTCCTGAATCGTATTTCAAATATTCATTGTTCTGTTTTTTTCTTTGATTATCAAATAACTCTTTCATGTAATTTTTTCATACTTTTAGCTCGTCTTTTGTGTCTATAACTATATTTACTTTTTTATCGACAATGGTAAAATGTATTTGTTTTATCTTGTTTTCTAGTAAGCTCTTTAATTTTTTGTATATATTAAAGCGATCATCTTTATTTTGTAATCTTTTGATTTCATTACATTTTTCTTTTAGCCAGTTTTCTTTAAAAGTTTTGATTGAATTGCATTTTGCAAAAATTATCGATAAATAAAGATCAAATCTTTATTTGTTGATAATAACTACATTAGAATAATTTAAAATAAAATATTTTAGAACGTCAATTTTAATATTTTATCTACAGCTCTAACAGTTTTGTTTCGTCTTGTGAGACTTTGTTTTTGGTTATTGTTTTTTTCTCAAAATGTTTAGGTATTTTTACTGCATATAACTTATATTATTTTAATCAAAATTGTGTATTATATTTATAATAATATATACTTATTAAAATTATTAATAAGATTAAGAATTTTTATACTCTGTGTAACAAAATTAGGATACTGGTTATTTTGCATATTTTTTAGTGCCTCCAAATATAGACGACTCCTTGAGCAGCAGCGATGCGATCGTGAGAGAGGGCTCAAATGAAACGTTAACTTGTAAAGCTACCGGATTTCCTACACCTAACGTTAAATGGAAGAGGGACGATAATACCAAAATTACCATAAATAAGACCCTTCAAGGTAGGCCTTACACATTTTTTTTGCGGTTACGTTTATATTCTTCTAGTGTAATCTATGCACAAAGTCAGTATTGACTTAATGAAAAATGTTTTACAATGACATTATGTTTTACATTTTCACTTTTCGCAACTTTTATTTTGGAAAGGTGATACTTAAAAATGCATTTCAATTACTTAAAAATGCAAGTTATTATTTAAATAATTAAAACAACTCATTTATTTTAGTTTCTTTAGATTCTAATCATAAAACTACATAAACTAGACCAGGGTAGTAATTGGTACTGCGTTTTTGAGATGACTTTTTATGTATTTTTCACGCGCAATATCGATGGTTTTTATTATAATATAATATAAATATCTTCAAGATATAATAATTTTTATCGAAAAATAGCTCAGAAAGCAAAAAGGTAATAGATTAAAGATTATCATCCTATTGTTTATAACTTCGTCGCAAATGTCGGTCAACTTTGACCGGTTGTATCTCAGGAAGCACTGCATTTAATTTAACTTTTTTTATTTAATATGAGACGTCTTATCAAGTATTTTCCAATGCTGTTTCCCGAATTTAAAGCTAATTGTTACCGAGATATTCTATTTGATTATAAGCTAAAAAATTGTTTATAATTTTAAAACATTCCTGAGACCGTTTAAATAATCCGATTTTAATTCTATAAAGTATGTTAGATAGGTAAGGTATGTTTTTAAGAGTAAAAATATTCTGGTCTAGTTTTTGTGGTGCAAGATTTTATATATTATATACATATATATATATATATATATATATATATATATATATATATATATATATATATAGTCTATATATAGACATATATATATAGTTTATATATATGTTTATATATATATACATATATATATATATATATATATATATATATATATATATATATATATGTATATATATATATAAAACATATATTATATATATATATATATATATATATATATATATATAATTTTTTTTTAATTACAAAATTATTATGCAAAATCTGTTAAATCGATTTTATTGAAATTTGTAGGACTGATTACCTGTATTATTAGGATTTTCTAGACGAATTAAGAAGGTCCTAAGTGTAATCTAAGTGGTTGAAAAACATTAAATAAAAAGGTTGTTCCCCCATTTTTGTATTTATTGCTATTTTGCAGCAACGTTAATAAATTAAAACATTTTTAACCACTTTACTTACAGTAAATTTAATTGTCGCTATTTTCATTTATTACGACTGTTCTCCAAAATAAATTGTTCTTAAGTTATAAACAGGGAAAGTAGAAATAATTGATATTTTTGGTAATTTTTAAATATTTTAATTTTTTGATTGATGTTACGACCTATTTGAGAGGAAGGATAAGTTAATTATTATTACTGAAATTAATAAGCTGGTTCTGCAAAAATCCGAATGCCACCTCTCACATCTACCTCAAAATAGATCCGCCCTGGTCTAAACGAGGAATACAAAAAATTTGATATATTTGATAACAATGTCCATAAACATCAAATTTGGCAGAAGTATTGCACAATTTTAGGTTTTAACGGTATACGGGCTAAAAAGGAGTTGTTTTCGTAGACTTCACAGTATTATTATTCAAATTTTATTTTATTTTTCTATGGGTAGTATGGGTATAATTTTTCATAACTTCAATCCATTTTATTGAAAGCCGTATTTTAAAAATCGGTCAAAATAACTGCCGCCATTTGGGTTATTTTACCGGAATTCTGAAACGCTGTACCAGCTTGTATAGGTCGAGTGATTAGGTCCCTTGGTCATCTACAAAAATTGCTTTTATGTTGTGATCTAGTACTTTCTAGTCATGAAAAATACAGTTAATTTTTTGACGTTCTCTGCTATAGCGTCTGAAACTAAAATGTTCATGAAATAGCCCCAGGTATGCTGGTGTCCCTTAAATGGCGTATCATCATCATCAAGCAGCCAATCGCGTCCACTGCTGGACATAGGCCTCCCTCAGTTCTTTCCAGTGTTCTCTACACTGGGCCGCTTGTAGCCAGTTTCCCGCTACACGTTTAAAGTCATCGGTCCATCTAGTCGGTGGTCGTCCTCGGCTTTTTTTATAATTTCTGGGCCTCCATTCCATAATACGTCTTGTCCACCGTCCATCTTGTGTTCTGGCTAAGTGCCTTGCCCAGTTCCACTTAAGCGTCGTGGTTCTTTCGATGACGTCTTGAACTCCTGATCTTCGCCTAATTTGTTGGTTTGTTATGTGGTCTCGAAGGCTCACGTTTAGCATTGCACGTTCCATGGCTCGTTGTGTAACTCTAAGTTTATTCGCAGATTTTTGCGTGAGTGTTAATGTCTCTGCTCCATAAGTTTGTACAGGTAATACACATTGGTTATAAACCTTTCGCTTGAGACACATGGGAATTAAACTTTTTAGAATATGGCTTAATTTGCCAAATGCTGTCCATGTTAGACCTATTCGCCTCTGTATTTCATGTGTTTGATTGTCTCTGCTTATTTTGATTTCGTGTCCCAGATATTTGTAAGTGTCTGTTTGTTGTATGGTATTATTGTCAATAGTTATATTTCCACTCATTACGAGATTTGTTAAAATTTTAGTTTTCTCAAAGTTTATCTTTAATCCTGCTCTTTCAGACAGACTTTTAAGCGAATGCATCATAGAAACCGTATCTTGTAAGTTATCTGCGATTAATACAACATCATCTGCAAACCTTAGGTGATTTAATCTTTCTCCATCTATATTGATGCCCATATCTTGCCATTGAGTACCCTTAAATATTGACTCTAGAGCTGCCGTGAACAATTTTGGTGAAATATTGTCTCCTTGTCTAACTCCTCGACCTAAGCTGAATTTTTCTGTGTCTTCGTGCAGTCGTATACTTGATGTAGCGTTCTGATAGATGTTTTTGATTAGTGTCGTGTACCTGTAATCTATTCGGCTTTGATTTAGGGCTTTCAGTATTGTTTCAAACTCTACAGAATCAAAAGCCTTCTCGTAATCGACAAATGCAAGAACCAGTGGTATGTTGTACTCGATGCACTTTTCTATTAAGATCTTTATGGTATGCAAATGGTCATTTGTGCCATATCCTGCCCTGAAGCCTGCCTGTTCTTTGGGCTGATAGAAATCAAGTTTAGGTGTTAGCTTCTTTGTTAAGATTTTCATAAAGAGTTTGTACATATGTGTCAAGAGGCTGATGGGTCTATAATTTTCTAATTTAGTAATATCGCCTTTTTTGTGTAACAAGACTATTACTGCATTGTTCCAGTCTTTTGGAATCGTACCCGCATGTAAGCATTTAGTAAACAGTTCGCTTACTGATTTTAATAAAATTTCTCCACCTGCTTTTATTGCCTCGATAACGAGTCTGTCATCACCAGGCGATCGATGGTTCTTCATTTCCTTTAAAGCAGCTCTTACTTCTGACACAGTAATGGGTAAAAGTAATTCCGATCCCTGATTTATGAGAGTCTTTACTCGTGTCGGGAAATTGTCTTGTGGTCTTTGGCTGGTATAGAGGTATCTTTTATTAGAAATTCTCTCTCTTTCTTTTCATTTATCTTTAAACTTTTGTTCTCTTCTACTGTTTGAGTAATTACATTAGTATTATATCTTCTTACATCTTTTCTAATTTCCGCTGAAATTCTTTTATTTAGTTTTTTATATTCTTCTTTGTTTCCCTTTTCGTTCTCGCTTAGGTTTCGTCGTATTTCCATGAGAGCCCTTGTATCTTTGCTAATCTTTTCACTTTTGGTGTCATTTTTTCTTGCAAAATTTGAGTTGTGCGTTTCTAACTGAGTCTGTTATTAATTTATTGTGATCGTCGATACTTAGAGGTTTGGGATTATTACTCTGTAAAGTTTCGGCTATATTTCTTATGTATGCTTCTGGATGATTTGGTGAATTCCAAACTATGCGTTTGCAACTGTTTATCATCTTTGCTCGTTCTTTTTGTAGATTAATCGTTACTCTAGCTCTTACTGGTCTGTGGTCGCTTCCTACTGATAGTTTATTGAGTACAGTGACATCTTGAATAATTTGCTTTTTGTCTGTTATTATATAATCATATTCGCTCTTAGTTCTTCCGTCTGGACTAGCCAACGTCCATTTTCTATTCTGTTTCTTCTTAAAAAAGGTGTTCATTGCATACAGTTTGTGTTGCAGTAGAAAGTTGGTAAGCATTTTGCCTCTTTCGTTTCTTACACCGACTCCAAAATCTCCGATTGCCACTTCTTGTCGTCTTTTCCTTCCAAGTTTCCCGTTAAAATCTCCCATTATCAGAGTGTAATGAGCCGGTTCCTGCTTTTTTGCTCTTTCGATTTCCTCATAGAAGGCTTCGACAATTTCATCTTCGTAATCGCTGGTGGGGGCGTATACCTGGATTATTTTCAGATTGTATCTCTTATTTAGTCTTAGATTTATATACATAACTCTTGGGGAAATGCAGTCAATGCTCTGTATATTTTTCTGTAATTTTTTGTGTACTAATAAACCTATTCCTCCAGTTGTCGATTCCGTTTCCCCTTTATAGTGGAATATGTTTCCTGATTTTAGTTTGACCTGATCTTCACCTCTTCTTTTGACTTCGCTAATTCCTATAATATCCCATTTCACATGTTTGAGTTCTTCCTCCAGTTCTGTCATTTTTTCATCCTTAGATAAAGTTCTTACATTATACGTAATTATGTGCAACGTTCGTCGTTCTTGGTAGCCTCTTACATCCCGGGGATTCTTCGCACCCTTTACCCGCTGTCCGTGAGTCCTACCGCTACCTTGGTCGGGAACTAGCGAGCTGCTGGGGACTGAGGGCCGTTTTCTTGAATGTCTGTTCATGCTGAGGGGGTTTTGGCATTTAAACACCACGCTTGCCAGGCGGGTTGGTGAGTTGGTTTGGGAAATTGGTAGGATAGTAGGTATTGGGTAGGAATGGGGTTAGGACATGATTTCTCTCCACAGGAGTTGAGAGAGAATCAAGGCTCGCGTAGGGCAGGATCGCATCCCTGAAGT